AATTTAAGTGTTCAGACTGACGTATAACTAACTGGCCTGGATAATATAATGACGAAAAAAAATGATTTTAATACAGGATTTTTTAAATATAGAAGTTTTAAACATTTTGGGATAATATGTTCTGATAAAGAGTAGATTTATATGCATGTTTGAGCAAGAATGATTTGACATTAAATATGATTTCCCTACGACTTTAGCTCAGTTAGTAGAAACCAGACCGGTTCTGGAAAGGTCCATTTCACTTTATAAATGTGGAATAAAACCGCATTAGTTTAACCCTGAAATAAAAATAATGGATTGTTTCTGTTTCTACTCAGTCAGAAATAATGAAGCTTCTGGACATTAGAACCCTTTATGTTAATATAAATCAATCCAAAAACGGACTTTAAACGCTTCCATAAAGCGCATCCTTCCAATTAGTCCAGCAGTCCACTCAGGGCTGTTCGTCTCTCTAAGACGAGGACTGGGATCTTCCCCGTGTTCCCCTGCTGGCAGTCGGCTCTGACCGACCCACAGACCGTCTCCACTCACCTGCAGGTTCTCATAATGCTTCAGGGTTCTGCAGTGGTTGATCTCGGCCACCTTGGTTCCAGTGAAGAATCGGCTGCAGACCTTACAGAAGAAGCCCGTCTTAGGGACCAAATACTCCATACCTGCAGACAGACGGAGGGTCAAAGTTCAGCAGCAGCTGGAAACCTGTGAACAGGGTCAGGGTGAGGGTGTCGTACCAACAGCCGTCATGGGGTCGTAGGGAGGCAGGGCCGTCTTCACGCTCTCCTTTCTGGGGTCGTCTTTGGCAGTTTCAGGATTTTCTGTGTGAAAAATGACAAATGAACATGGAGGAGCAGAACCGACCCGACCCGGAGCTGATGAGAGGTTCTACCTGTCTGCAGGACGGCCGGCTGCTCCCCCACTGCTGGAGGCTCTGGATCTCCCTCCCTTTGCTCAGATTCCTCCATCGGCTCGCCGCCCTGAGCCTCGCCCTGCTTAACAGACCCGCCTCCATCCTCCGCTCCAGCTGGGCTGTTTGGGTCGGACTGAGCTGGAGCTGCAGGAGCAGAGCTGGAAGCGGGCTCAGCATGGAGGCTTGAGGCCGCCGTGGTTCCTAAGGAGCAGCAGCAGAGGTGAGGAAGGCCTACAGAGCTGAACACAGACGCCGCCTGCTGGACTCTGGCTGTACCTGGATCACCGGGGGGTCCTGGTTGGCCCTCGGTTTCACCGGGGGGAGGTTCTACAGTAGGCGGGTCCGAACCAGACTCCAGACTGTCAGCGGCTGATGGCTCGCTCACAGCTTGGGATTCTGGGATTTTCTCATCAGGCTGTGCCTCCTGGGCCATGCTGGTCTCCATGGATACGGCCTGCAGGAAGAACAGGAAGGTTTATTTCTACAGCAGTAACATCATTCACTGTGCTGGATGTGAGAGAAAAGAAAAGAGACTCTGATCAAAGAATAAATGAGAATCATCAAAACAAGATAATGATCTAATGATGATGCTTAAAAGCTGAGGGTTTGGTTCCAGATTAAACTGGCTGCTGGTCTCCATGGAGACCAGCAGGGGGAGCTGTACCTCTTCAGGTGGAGCTTCATCCGCCCCCTCTAAGGTTTCTATGACAACAGTAGGGTCAGGGAGGTCAGTCACATCTCCCAGTTCATCCACTGTAACAAAGTCCGTCAGGTTGAAGGGGAACTCCTCCTCCTCCTCCTCCTCCTTCTTCTCCTCCTGGTCCGGCTGGAACAGAGCAGACGGCCGTTAGCGATCAGACTGAGCTCTGAGCGTAGATCTGTGACTCCTCCTCACCTTCCTCCTCTCAGCCTCCTCCCTGTAGCGCTGCTCCCTCAACCTCTGCCTGCTGGTGGACCTGGACCCAGACGGCTTCTCCTCGTGGCTTCTCCTCCTCTCCCTCCTGTCCCGTTCTTTCCTCTCCCATTCCCTCCTATCAGAGTCCTTCCTGATCTTCTCCCCCCTCTCCCTGTCTCTGTCCCTCCTCTCCTTCTCCTTCCTCTCCCTCTCCCTCCTCTCCTTCTCCTTCTTCTCTCTCTCCCTCCTCTCCTTCTCTTTCTTCGCCTCCCTCTCTTTTCTCTCCAGGTCCGTTTTTTTCGCCTCCTTGTCTCTTTCCTCTGTCGTCTTCTTGGTCTGGTCTTTTGTGTCGTCCTTGTCCTGTCTTGCTGCCCCCTGGTCTCCAGCGGGGGGCGCTGCTTTCCTGTTGAGGCTGTTAGCGATTCTGTTTCTGCACTCCACCAGCAGGGCGTTAACCATGGCCTGAGTCATCTGTGTGAAACAAAGAGGAGCGCGTTAAAGCTCCTTTCCTCCAGCGGAGCAGCTGCAGCTTCAGGAAGGTCTTACCTTGGGCAGGTCAGGCATGGCCGTCTCCACGGAGACGGAAGGTGGATGGGCAGGAGGAGCTTCTTTGTCTACGACATCCAACTCTGATGCGTCTTTGCTAACGTTTCCATCGTCAGCGTCGCTTTTGTCCGGCTTAGATAAGGACTCAGACACAAGAATGCTCGACTCCGCCTCCTTGTCTCTACTCTCCTTCGCCGTCGGATTTCCTTCCTCAGTTTTTGTCTCCTCAGCCCTCTCCTCGCCCTTCTCCTC